CTATTCGCGAATGCAGCTAAGAGCTCGCCCTCTGGCGGTGACAAGTGATACTAGCGAAACAAGGTAAATATTTCTTCTGTGTGTGACATTTCGTTTTGTATTTTATTTAAAACTGAATTTAGTGTTCGTTTTTTGAACACTGTTATTTTAAGAAAATAGTGTGAGGAAAATTTCAGCAATTATGGATAGAAAGAAGAAACTGTCAAACTATTATTGTTCAGTTCAAGGTTGCTCTTCATGGTCCAAGAAAAATCCAGAATTAAGTTTTCATCAAACCATTGAAGAAATTTTCAAAATATTATTGCCGATAGATAATACTCCCTGAATTTCATGAGGGTTGTTAGTAAGTAAGGGCACTAGTCTGCAGACATAATATAAATTTCTAAATTTAAATTAACTTTGCTCAATTTTCCCATATAGTACCACATGATCAGCCTTAAAAACTGCCTCTCCTTCTAATATACAACGAGAGTTTTCGTTAGCATATATGTAAATAGGAAATGTATTCCACAACGGATAAGTTCATAGTTATAACTTAATAAAATGTACATTACATTGTAATGCTAGAGACAAATAAAGTAGACATAAATACTTGCCTTAAAATTTATTTATGAAATATTTGAAACCTATAAAATAACACAAAAGTGAAATAACCGCAGTTTGATAACAAAATTACTAATAATAATGGCAAATAAGACAAATGTTGTTCAAATGAATGTGTAAACGTGAACGGCAATGTCAAAATTACCTTGTTTCGGAGCTTACTGCTTTCGCCGCTTGGTGCGCTTGCATCTTAAAAATTATCGCGGATAGTTGTTGTTCCATTTTCTTAGTTCTTGACCCTTGTCCTCTTGTCTGTAATAGGTAGTGGGTATAACTATATTTAGGTAGATGTGACGCAAATTTGGAAATCTCTACACATATCGTTTTAAACATTTTGCACCAATATTCATTATTTTATATGCACCTTACAATAACCACAACTGCACACACTTCAAATTATCACATAAAATAGCGTCAAAGTAAATATGAAGAACAACGAAACCAAGCAAACTGGCAAACCGCAAACCTAACCTAACATAATACGAATTGAAACGACACACGGCACACGGGAAATAAATAAACTCGGGCTGTTACGCGCAGTCTACGCAAGTCACGAACATACATTTTTTCTAGACTTGTGTTATAAATATGCTACCACATTTTTTTTTCTAATTATGTCTTTGTATAACAAAGGCAAATGAACTAACGCGTGAGAAGAATTGGGGATTGAGAGCAAAATTTAACTAATGCCGAATGTTTCATAAGATAAACAAAAATAGCAAACGGTTGTTCGTCTGTTGTTTCCGAGATCGAAAGGGAATGTTTCGAGTAATGTTTCAAACTCTCTTGAATTGGAACGTTTCGGCTATGTTTCACTAAAGAAGTTTTCAAGTGCTACATTTCTGTAATGAAACAGAAACGTTTCTAGTTAACGTTTCATATGTTTAGTAAAACATCTCATTTGCAACGTTTCATTTACGTTTTGTGTTTAGTGGGTTAGGACGATATTGCTTATAACTTTTAAATGGGAAGCAACACAGAAAAATTTCTCTAATAAAAATTTATTATAAAAAGGGGAGTTTTTTAACAGAAAATAAATTTGGATATGGTTCTAGAAAAATATAATTGATGACGTCATTAGTCGTTTCTGTCAAATCCCAAAGATAATACTTTATATTGACAATGGAGCTTACCGCATCCCATTTAACGCCACGTGTCCCAAATCTTATTTAATTTTTTTGTATCCTCACAGCAGGCCCATACATACATACTTTGAGACACCTGTACACCCTGTATATGTATAAATGAAAGTGTAACCAACTTTCAAACACATTGAAAAGTTTATTTCTTATATTTCACTTATCAAATGTGTATTAAAGTTAAAAATTAAAAAGGCTACACACGCTTGGATCCAGAATCCTCGTAATACTCGAGTTAAAAGCAGAAATTAATAAAATTAAAACCGATAACTCGATTATCAGACAGCTAAGTGTGAGTGTAACTTTTTTAAAGAAAGCTCTGCAGATCGTAATTAAATAAAAGCACAATTTACGTTAAAAGTGGAATGCGAAGCATGAAGCAATTACATACACATCTTTAATGTATCTCTTCGTCATACATTTCGAGAGAGACTGATGCTATATACATGCAGTAGAAAGATATGAAGTGAATTAAGATTTCACAGTATTCATATGAGGTATCTGTGTTTCCTTGATGTAATAATTTCGGTGGAATAATAAGAAAAAACGGGCTAAAACGGAAATAAGGATATTGAGTTAAGGAACTCTGCGAAACTGATGAAAATTTATTTCACATTAAGGATATGCACGTTTCCTGTTTCTTTATGCGAAATAAACAATTTAGTTCATTAACTTACGTCTGCATGTAGATGATAAATATTTATTTGCACCACCACCATTGGTTGAACTTTATAAACATTCACCAACAAGCATTGCAACTTTTTTGTGTCTTCGTGCGAAATTATGGAACGTAGAGAAAAATTGATACATCACATTTTCAGCAGGTGACTATAGGGGAAACTTGTATTAAATTTTTTAATGGTAGGTACAGGTACAATGCATGTTTTCAATAATAAAATAATTAAAACTGCAATGCGGCGCTTGAAATTAATAATCATGGAAATTGGTAAAACTTATTGAGAACCTCTGGAATCGTCCCCGACTTACATGCTACATAAAAAGAATTGAATAGTTGTGGCCGTAAATGAAGTATGGTCAGCGTTTTTCTCCCGTTTTTTGTAGTAAATACAACCTTCTACGAGTTTTGCACATTTTTAAGTCAAATGATTTATAAATTAGTATGCACCAACATAATGTAAACAGAGGTAGAGCTAT